ATTCACTTTACCCTAAAACCATATGGGAAAACACAAATATTGTAATGCCAACAGTTAAAACTTCTGAAATGGTCAGAAACAAAATCTGATACCCCAGAGATACAATATAATGTTATATAATATATAGTTATGAAAGCCTAGGAAATGTCTTCAGGTAGCTTCAGAAATAATATTCTTCTATACCCCTTCCTATTCTGGTTCCAATTTCTTTTGCACCTTTAGATGCCTACAAAAATCTGCGACAAGGTCCCTGGCTAGGATTCAGAGCAGACAGTGACATGGTTCAGCTTCAGTGCCAGAAATTCTGAAAATATGGACTACAACAGTTGCTACTAGCATAATATCTAGGCTTAACCAATGGGAAAGCCAGATTCAGAATGCACTGTACCTACCTACACAAAAGTTATATCACTGTTCCCAGGGTCATGGGAACAAATGGTAAAAGAGCATCCAGGCTGGCTGATTTAAGAGTGTCTTTAAATGAGCCGTTTCAAGGACAAAATGATTCCTTCCAGCAAAACTATTAGCCAAAGATAAGAAAAAACAAGGAAGGCCACACATACCTATGTCAGTAAAGAGGACGGGGCATACCTGAATCCAGGCAGGACCACACTCAAGAAACTGCACGTTTTAAACCGGTAAAAATATGGAAAGTCTACAGAATTAGGCATTTAAGGAATTACCAGGCAATACACACAAATACAAGGAAGACTGCACAAAAAACATCTCACAAACAAATCTTCCACTCGAATCTTCAAGTTGTGGATAGGAAAGCAAGTCTCAAAGGTCACAGAGTCAGTGGGTCATTTACTAAAAATAAGAAGCAGCAAAGGAAAACCAGCCAAATCCAGCTGTAAGGACAGCAACTTGGCGATTCCCCCCAGGCTCCACTGTTGAACAGAGCTCAGTTCTCTAAATTCTTATTTGTACCAATCAAAAGGCTGAAGGTGAAAAGGGTCAAAATTTAGCAAAATTTTCCTAAGAAAATTTTCTTAAGATTCTTAAGAAGCAAATCATGTAACAAGCCATGTGTTTTCTCCCTGATGAGCCTATAACATCCATGGGTGGGTACTAAGTCTACCATACCCTGCAGTGCTTTGCTTTCCAAGAGTTAATGCCATCCAGTAATTAGAGGATGAGGGTACTAGTTGTTCCACTAACATACTGACAAAATGAATTAAGTAGCAACAGCTCTCCACAAATCTGCCTTTAAAGGTTACTGACACATGAAAATTGTTGGGACATCAAAAATTGGAAGGCGGGGTCCTACTTGGCCCAAATGAAAACAGATTTTCTCCCACTGTCCTTTAGATACACCCGATTTAACAGGGACCCACATCTCTTGGGATCTAGTGCTCCCAGAATGGTAAATTCACTATAAAATCCCATTCAAGTCTTAACAATACATTACGATTCTGCAGCTTTGCCTTTAAGAATCCTATGAAACTTGCCCCCAGTTCCCATCTTTAAGCAAAAGGTATTTGTTGCTGGCTAGCATTGTGATGATTTTTTTTTTAACCCAAATGGTCCCAGCAGCAACACCATCGAGAAACTTAAGCACGCTTTTCAGAAATGACACCATTTATTAGATGTCTAATCCACAACAGGAACAATATGACATTCCAATAGGAATGACACAGATGGAAGGAAAGATGGCTATATCCTTGGCGTTAGGAAACAATTTTGGAATTTCTCCTGGTTCGGCTCTGAGAACAAAACCTGATTACTTTCCTTTACATCTTAACAGCTGAGAAGTCAGTGTCTTTGGCCCATACGAATGATCCCTTACACAGAAGGGCCAAACTAGACCCACTGCTCCTAACTTAACCTGGAATACCTTGAGCTCATTTCAGGGTAAGAGGAGACTGGGCAAGGCCCAGGAAAAAGACAAAACAGCTCCGGCCCCGGACAGGCTCGCCGGGCACAGCCAAGACCGGCATCTGGCTGGGACGGGCACCCTTGCCTGGGGCAGAAATCCGTTTCAGAGCACACAGAGAGAATCTGGACAAACCTGTCTTGAGGTGACGCAAGTCAGGGGCCGTGTCCTGGCCTTGCAGCTACCTTGAAGCCAGTCAGGGGTCTTCAAGACTCTGGAATGGGGGCTGAGTCTCTCCAGGTCTGAGAGACCACCCTCCCATCCCCCGCCGCCTGGAGCCACAGGCCTTGGCCTGGGAGGGCGGGCCCCAAACAGGTCCAGCGGCTGGGCCCGCCTTCCTTCCCTGGGCCAGCCCAGCCCAGCCCAGCCCATTCAGCAGCCCCCAAACATGGACTGCAGGTTCCAAGACCTCAGTGCAGCAGGTGCCTGTAACGCGCACAGGTGCCCAGCCCAGCCCCGCCCCCGTGTCCCATCGCGGCCGCCGTCGCTGAGGAATCAAGACTGCTCAAGAGGGAGACGAGTGCCAGGCCCAAAGAGGCTGGTGGCCCCGGCTTACGGACTTCTCCTTCGCTGCATACCTACCAACTGGTTTACCCCAGAGCCTTCAACGCAGAGTCCCCAGCTGCAGAGTGCCGTCGCCGCCCGACAGCATCTCTGGCTGCAGCGCCAGCCCGGCCCCTGCCCTATCCCCGCCCCGCCCTGTCCTCGGTGCCAGGCCCCGCCCCCTGCCCCCTCCCCTAGACCTGAGCTCTTCCGCCCAGCCTCCAGGCGCCTAGTGGCTCCCATACCTGTCCATCAAGGGCGCTCTTCCGGGGATGTCTGGACAACAGCAGTGTGTCCTGCCAATCAAATCGGCTCCGCTCGGGTGGGGCAGCACTTGACCCTCCCCTTACGTAACAGGGCCTGGAGTGAACTGTCAATCAAGGAAGTGTCGGCCCCTTGAGGGGGATGGGGGCGGAAACAAACAAGTACCGGGATACAATTGGCCACAACGTCCGCCAGTCACCATGGAGACCCCGCCCACGGGTTTGTGCCGGCAGCTGCAGCCATTCACGGGCTGGGACTGCGGCGTTTTCTCAGCCCGGCACCGGCTGGCCACTGTTCGTGGTGTGCTCAGCTGCTGCCAGGCCCGGCTGCCACGTAGGGACCACCAGGGTCCCAGAGGCCGGAACGGGAAGGGCTGGGTTAGCAGAGGGAAAGGACACTTTCAGGAGCGCCGAGAAATGCCGTTTTCTACACCGGAGACGGGGATAATGGCTGTGGGCGGACCAGAGCTAAACTCCAAGTCATCGCTCGGCTCTGGTGCACCTAATGGAATGGGTGGGCCCGAGACCCAGCGATCTGCGGTTGTCCCAAGTTCCCCTGGCGATTCTGCCGAGTTGAGAGCCTCTCCCACAGGGACAGGTAGCTCCCGGTCCTCCCGCCCACCCCTCGCGCACCAGCCCGCACTTTGTTCTGAAACACCTTTACCTTTTGTGACCTTTTATGGCTTAAGAGCTTTCCATAGGAGTCATTTCACGACCCAGCCTAGTCTGGCTTCCTTCCCATCATAGTCCCATCCTCTTTCCTATGTCTGCCTCTAGCCCAATTCTGTGCTTTAGGCTGTCCTTGGTTTAATGCTTCCGTTTTAATGCCTGGGACAGATGTGAATGGTGGGAACACAAGGTTAAGAGAATAATTCTATCAAATGGGCCCACTCTGCTGCCCTGGACCCCCATGCACTTTCTTTTCCAAGAAGCAATTTATCTGCAGCCCTGCCTGGCCTAAGTGGACAGGCTATGTCGCATTCCTCAATAAACTTGCTGTTCACTGCAGGAAAAATGCAAGCCCAAAATAATGTTGATAAGAGGAGCCCAAGGTACCCTGAAGGACAACTTTTGTTACCATATCCTAAACTCTGGGAGATGAGGATAGTTCCTTCTAACCATAAAGTCTGTAAGAATGTATGGTTAAGAATACAAATAGAACCAGTCAGATGGGCCAAGGTGACCTAGAGTTGCCATCATAGTGGGGATTTAAAAGTCTGATGTCACCCTGCTGTCAATCAAAAAAGAGGTAAGTGTGGGCAGAACTCTCTGGAAACTTCTCTGGTATCTCAAAACTGGAATACAGAAGAGGCACATTGTCCCTCTCCTGAGAGGACCCTCCCTTGAGAGTGTCTCCTTTTCTTATCCCTTCAATAAAACTCATTCCTGTTACTGAGTGACATTCTAAAATCTTTCTGACTTGATAGCAAGAATTAGGGTTTGAAAAGGGGTCTTTGAAGTACCTCAGTTTCTCAGAAGGCCTCAGCTCTGTAATACTCCCCCAAACCTTTCCCCAAAATGATTCCTCCCTGTGGGATGCCCTTCCAACCCCAGACACCCCTGGCCACTCCCAACAACTTTCTGCCCCTTTTCCAAGATACCAGTGGCACTTTTTGTCTCTGGTATCTTAGAAGAGAAGGGAGATTCTCTGACCAGCTTGTTTGTTCCAATTTGGTTGCCTCTGGGATTCTGGTAAATGACTTACTTATTAAATGGCAGGAAGCCAAACTCCTGATGTTAATCCCAAGGGGTGGTTCTGAAATCCAACTTCCTCCTACAGTTAAAAACAGTCCTGAGCCACTTCCTGTCATCTCGTTTGGATACTCTTAGGAATGTTATAAGACCCTTAATATTGGTCTTAAAAGGAAGGCAAGATGAAAGTCTTTTTTTCCACAGGAAAGGCCTCCATTGACATCCTAGCTCCAACCAATCTTCTTTGCAGATTTGCCATTCTCATCCTCTCAAGATTTCTTCTCATCTCATCCCTTCTCCAAGCTTCCATTTTCACTGAGAACTCACGTATTTCTCCAGCTCAGATCTCGCCTCTGAGTTCAGATGCAGGTACCCAACTGTGCTCTTGGCAGTGGGTGACTCAGACACATACCAAGGTCAGGACACTCGAGAAAACCCAACTCCCACTGATGCACATAGCTAGGGGATTTCTCTCGCATGGTAAGGCATGCTCCGGGGGTGGCACCATGCTTGAAGCATTGCTTTCCGTGGTGTTTCTGGAATTTCACTTCCAGACTGTTAGCAGTGGCTGCTGCCATTCAGGTACATCCAATGTCTACAAAATAAAGAATATCCCTTTCTTCCAGGTGTCCCCTTTGAAGCTCAAGAATTTCTTTCCCAGAAGCTCCCAGAAGAAATGTCCACATGTGTCAATGACCAGAAATGCATCACTGGGTCTCTGCATACCACTGAAGCATCCAAAGGCCGAGGGAACAAGTCTGTCGTGGTGACTTGAGCTAATCGAGATTTACTCTGGAACCCCGGACAGATGTGATTCAATTTGTATTTTGAAAACATCACTTTCTTGGAGAACAGATTGAAGGGGCGGGAGTGTTCAGGCAAGAGATGATTACAGGAGTGAGAGGGTAGAGATGGAGAACTGACCGTGTCCCAGAGATATTTAAGAGATAAAGAGGACAGACCTTGCTCATGGATCAGATGTGTGGATAGCGGAATGAAGAAGGGGATATCATGGATGATGCCGAGATGTTTGGGTTGAGCTGCTGGATGAAAAGTGAAGCCATCTGGTGAGATGAGAAAGGCAGAACCATAAGTAGGTTGGAGAGGGTGGGAAACAGGAAGAACATGAGTTCTGTATGGGGTGGGTACTGTGGACACTAAAGGTTAGGTACCTGGGGCTGGGATTGTGGCTCATCGGTAGAGCGCTTGCCTAGCAAGGGCAGGACCCGGGTTCGATTCTCAGCACCACATAAAAATAAAGGCATTGTGTTGTGTCCATCTACACCTAAAAAATAAATTAAAAAAAAAGGTTTGTGTACCTGTTATGGATTAGCTTTTAAGTATCCCCCAGAAGCTCACATATGAGACAATACAAGAAGGTTTAGAGGTAAAATGATAGGGTTATGAATAATCAGAGTTAACCCACTACCAGGGATTAACTGGATGGTAACTGTAGGCAGGTGGGGTGTGGCTGGAGGAGGCAGGTCATGGGGGGTTGGCTTTGGGCTTTACATTTTGTCTGTGGTGAGGGGGTCTTTCTCTCCTCCTCCCTCCTCCCCTCCCTCTCTCCTAGTGACACTTTCCTACCCGCCTTCTTCTGCCACACCCTTCTGCCTCACCTTAGCTCACAGCAATGGACTCTAAGGAACATCACCTCTGAAACCGTGAGCCAAATAAACTTTTCTAAAATTGGCAAAGACCAAACTCCTCACCGTGGCTGGAGTCCTGTCCCACTGCCCCAGGTTCCAGCCACTCCAGCATCCCTTCAGTCCTTGGACGTGTCAAGTTTTCCCCTCCTACCCCACAAGATGGAGTCTTTGCTTGGATCCTTCTCTCCTCCCCCCTCAGCTCACACACAACTTCAGGGAAATGTGCTGTTGCTCTGGGGGATGACTCGACTGGTGTCCATCTATCTCCCACACCGTCCTTTAAGCTTGTGAGGGGGAACCATATCTGTTTGGCCCTCCATTTGCTGAGGGCCATTGCCAAGTAGGAATGACACATCGAAATTTCCTTGCCAGCGTACCCCATGTTAAATGGACTTGCCTTGGACATTGCATGGGTCTTTGAGAAAGGTGACCCTGCTCAAGGACCAGGGTGGATCCAGGATTAGAGTGTATCCTGCAGGTTTTAGGAAGTATCTGGGTTTAAGATAATTTGGGTTTAAGGTGTTCCCTGTTTAAGACTATGTGGTTTTAGGGAAGTTTGAGGTTTAAGTTTATTGCTGCTGGGAATAGGGCGTTCCTGCTGCCTGAGTTCCCGCTGAGTTCTCGTGGAATAGAAAGATTTGGGACGTGAATTGTGCAGGAGAACGTGTGTAGAGGCCGGTGTGAGTTCGGGAATAAAGAATTGCCGTTTGAATCTACAAGGTGTGTGGTGGCTCGTGATTCTGTGCCCAGCCAAGACATTGGCATCCATTGTCTCCCCAGCCCCTAGCCCCTGCCTGGACGGAGTATGTACTTGAGATAGCAGAGCACAGTCCCCAGCTCCGCACCAGGGAAGCTGCTTGCTGTGATCTGAAAGTGCCTTGTGCCTTCCAAAACTACCGATAAAACCCGATTACCAGTCTAGCAATGTCAAGAGGTGAAGGGACCTTTAAGGGGGATTAGTTCAAAGGGCTGATTGATTAATGCAGTTCCCCTGAGCCTGGATTAGTCACCTGGAGTGGGCTGGAAGGGTAGGAAATGATCCGGTTATGAGAGCCTTCACCTAATCAGTGCGCTGATCTACGTGAATGGATGGAGTGGGTGGTGACCGTGGGCAGGTAGGAATGGTTGGAGGAGGTGTCTTTTGTCCTCTGTGAGCATGAGCCTTCTCGGCTTCCCGATTGTCAGATCCTGAGCTGCTTTCTTTCATCATACCCTCCCACCATGATTATTCTGCCTCATCTTGGGCCCAGAGCAATGGAGCTGGTCATCTATAAACTGAGACCTCTGAAAAAAAGAGTCCCAAACAAACTTTTCTTCCTGTAAAATTGCTCTTGTCATGTATTTTTGGTCACAGCAATGCAAAGCTGACTAAAACAACCTCTAGTCTTTATAAATCACTCAGTGTAAGGTATTGTGTTATAGCAACAGAAAATAGGGTAAAACAGCTCACTATGAAAGTCAGGATGACTTATTCAAAGGGAAGTGAGGCAGCCTCAAAAAGTATCACTTAAGACAAAAGAAAAAAATTTACCTAAACCTTACCTATATAAAACAAAAGCCACTTTCAATCACTGCACAGTACATTTGCTATTCTAAGTTTTTCGGAGTATTATCTGACACTTGTGTCAAACAATTCGTTGTACACCAGGACCTCATAGATATGTGATCTCTGAGTACTCAAATGCTGATTATGTTCTAATCCTCAAAATACTCATTGAGCCCATTATTTTCATCTCTGGAAAAATTGTATAAAGCAATTTAGATCACCGAGTTACCACTAATAACCTCAACCTTTCAGTTGAGGTTTGAAACAGATATATATATATATATTTTTGCATTACAATTCTTATTGCACGTATACAGCACAATTTTTTATATCTCATAAAGTATGTTGACACCAACTCGTGTCTTCATACATGTACTTTGGATAATGATATCTATCACATTCTACCATCCTTGCTAACCTCCTGCCCCCTCCTTTTCCCTCCCACCAAAACAAAGGAATTTTAAATGTGTGTGCCTTTTACATATATACAGAGTCAATGTTTTCAGCTCAACCCATTTGCTCCTAAATCTTTCTCTGAAAGGTAGATTCCTAGGTTTATATCACTGATCACACATGTTATTCTTTACATGAGATAATTACCTAGATATGCATTTAATATGGCAGAAAAATATAATTAGCACATTAAAACCATAATTTTATGGATAATTATTAGGATGAGACCAATGTGGGAGGATATTAAGTAATGGCCCCATAGCTGGTGATTTTAAGACATGGCAGAAATCATGGGTTTTTTCAGAATCATTGAAGTTCCCCAGGAAACACTGCTATAGAGATGCGGTTTCTGTCTTTTGTACATCCTTGCTGATTGTTACAATTTTTGCTTATAACCTCACAAATGAACTTTATATTCTATTTATATTAGGTCACATAATGTTTTCTTCCTGCCTTATAATGAGTGGCTGGCTGGATGGATGGAGAGGTGAAGGGATGAATCGTCTAGACAAGGGCTTTCAAAATGATGTTGGAGTAGCTGATGGACCACTGTGAATATTTATCCTTAAGGAAAAGCAACCAATATATAACATTGTGATTCAGGGCTGGAAGAGAATCGATTTCCTTTTATAATCAAATAGCATCTTGAACATGGCACGACATTACAAAAATCACCCCCTCTCAGCCTGCTGATGATTGTACCACAAGCACAAGAGCAATCTTCCCTTTGATTGACGTTATCTTTGGAAAACCACCTCACTCGGTGGTATAAAGCCTTTGGAAAGATGATAAATGCTCCGGTCAGTTTTAGCTAGAGTGGCAGATTCAGAAACGGAAAACCAAAGAGAAAGCAATGTTCATTCAGCGACAAATAATCCATGGTCTACCATTCTAGGCACTGACCTTCCTTTCTTGCAACCGGTAAAGGCGAGCATCTCTGCTTTTCAGAGTCTCCCACCTAAAGCCATCATCCTCAATTCCAACATCACAGAAAGTTTCAGTTCCACAGAAGAATGCAACACACAGCCTTATACTCATTATTTTATTTTTCCTCATTTCAAAATAGCTGCAGTCATCATGACCTTCACCTCTAGATACTTCAGTTTGTATCTACTAAGAGAAAGGACATGCCCGCCCCTACCCCCAAGAAAATTCACCCAAGAAAATTCACTCCAGAGAAAAAACCTTTTATAACTATTGCTATAGACTAATTGTTTGCCCCCCTGCCCACCACCAAATCCATATGTTGGGAACCTAATCAACAATGTAATGGTATCAGAGGTGTGGGCTCTTTGGGGGGGCGACTGGTCATGAGGGAGGAGTCCTCATGAATGGGATTAGCGCCCTTCCACAAGGTCCCAGAAGGCTGCCTTCCCCCTTCCACCTTGTAAGGACACAGAGAAAGTGCCCAGAACCAGAAGTGGGCCCTCACCCGACACCAAATCTGCCAACACCTTCATCTGAGGCTTCCCAGAGTCCAAACTGAGAAATACGTTTTTATAAGCTGCCCAGTATTTCGTTATAGCAGCCCAACCAGACTCAGCTGGTTTCCATTTTTCTAAACCAGGATTCAATCAAGATTCAGTCGTTTGCATTTATGACATCTCTTCAATCTCTGCAGTCTGCAGCATCCCCTTGACCCCACCCCACGACACAGATATGAACAGAACAGGATATTCTACATTCTGGGTTTGGCTGTTTTCTTGTGGTGTTGTTGAATAGAATATAGCCTCCATCTCTCTATGTCTCATAAACTAAAGGGCCTGAAGGCTTGATTAGATTCGGCACCTTGGGCGGGAATACTTCATGGGTGAAAAGTCTATCATGACCTTTTGAGCTACTGATTTAGAAGAATTCCATCCCAACAGCTATGCCTGAACCAAAAATTTCAAAAAAAAAAAAAAAAAAAAAAAAACAAAACAAAAAAAAAACAACACACAACATGCACTATGCTAGCACAGGTTACCTGGCTCTCTGGTCCTGTACATATTCGTGGATTTTGAAGCTGTCCTTTGGGCATTTCTATGTCCCCTTTCTAAGGTTGACATTGTCAGCACCCGTTTTCACAAATATCAGTGAGTTCACAAATTAGGCTTGTTCTCACGGCCACTGCTGGATACTTACCGATAGTTATTTTGAGTTGGTTTAAAAATAAAAATAGAGGAAACAAACTGTGGTTCAGAAGACACTGGATGGCAAACTGTGGTTGCCATATTAGTAAATGTCATTGTCTGGAAGTAGCAGGACCTCAAGGACAACAAATTTGGGGGAATGCAGAGACCTTGCTCCCACCTGTAGTCAAGCCAAGGCCTCAGGTCCCTGTACACAGTAAACTCTAATTTTTTTTTTTTTTAGTCGTCAGTGGACGTTTATTTTTATATGGTGCTGAGGATCGAACCCAGGGCCTCACACATGCTAGGTAAGCGCTGTACCACTGAGCCACACCCCAGCCCATTTTTCTTTGATGTGACAAGATACAAAACACTTTTCCCCCCAAAATCATTTGTTAACATGCACCAAAAGAGGAAGTAAAGTCTGTAGAGGATTGTTTAAACCAGGTGTCCCATTGCTTTCTCTGGGAGTGTGCCAAAGAGTTCACACAAATGTAACTTGCATCTTCCCCAGTAACAGGAGGCAGCCTCTGACACCCTCGATGTGGCCCTCCCCTCTCAGGCAAGGCCTCTCTACTATCCTCTGAGCCTGGAAAGGCTCTGGCCACTTTAACCCAAGGAGAGGCGACTTTAGCTCCTCTTGGTGAGTGGCCGAGTGCCCTCTGGTGGGCAGCGGTAAGAATGCAAGCAGCCAAACAAATTCACTTACCCAAGTATATTTCTCATAGAGAACATTGTTTAAAAAAAAAAAAAAAAATCCTGAATATATGTTTACATTCATGAAAAAAAAAAGAGTTATTCCTAAAAATTTTTTCTATTTTCCTTAAACAGTCTCAAGGAGGGTAGGACCCCATGGGGGTTCAAGTACATGGAGGCGAGATGTGGATTCCAGGGAAATATTTTTACCAGCCCTTCGTCTAGGGTGCCCATGATTATCTCAAAAACCGTTCCTCAGGGCTGTCCCTTAAGAAAATCCATGGCTTTAATGCCCCAACCACAGGCCTTAGAATCTTCATTCCCTAAACTAAAAATGACGATAGAGTCTAACCCTCTAGGCACACGCCAGGGCCCAAAGCCCTACAGTAAAGGGATGGAGTGCTGAGGAGGGCGCTTCCAGCCGGCCTCGAACAGAGTGAGGGTTTCAGTCCCCCACAGGCCGGGTCTGGAGAACCAAAGGGGCGGGGAAGGGCCGGGAGGAGAGGGGATGGCTGCACCCCAGCCCAGGTGCCACCCTAGGCATGCCCAGGAACACATCGACAGTGCCAGCCCACATGTGCCCACTGGAGGAACAGGCCTACCAACAGGGGCATGTCACCTCTGACCAGGGATAGCTCAGGGGGGATATGGGGTGGAGGTGTCTCTGGGAGGAGCAGCACCTTGATGGCACAGTCGAGTAAGATCTAGGCCATCACCCAAGAGTCGCAGGACTCAACTTCTCAGGATAAACCTTGCTTTAATCACGGGGTGGGCAAAGGCACCCCTCTGCCGGGTTTCACTGGTCTCCAGGAATGGGCAGACGCCAGCAGGAAAGTCGATGACCCT